GCTATTCCTTGTAGCACAGTTTCATCATCACCTCAGTAGGATAAGTACATATCCCTTGTTCTTATCCCACTCTATGTAAAATGGGCACAAATTTTCATCTTCCGAAATCATTTACTTAGTGTATATTAAAACGGCTTTATTTAACTTACTCTCTTTATTTGGATCAAATCTAGTAATTTAAATTACACCCATTTCCTGTTGTTAAATTTATTTCAAATTTGGAACACATAAAAGTTCGATTTTTAAATTTTTTTAAGAACGAATTTTCACTTTTAAATGTAACAAAATCGTTGATGTCTTTTGTAGGCTCGTTATTCATTGATTTTAACCTTGACCTTCTTCGCCCTAAATATCTATACAAAAATGTATTATTGCCCTTATTTTCTTCAAAGAGAAAGATAAGGATAACAATATGTTTCTATACAGTAGTTTCAATAGTGGAAACATATAATAATGTTTACGTCAAAATAGCTTTCATAGCATGAGATATAAAATTCCACACCTTGATTTTTATTTATTTACACACACACATACACATAAATACATGTTAATCCACATCATCACCATCGGCTCACTATACGACCCCACAGCGGGTCTCAGAGCCTACCTTAAGTTAGGAGTCACTAGGCCATAGTCAATGCTGGCACAGTTCGGGTTGACTTTACACATATCTTTGAATTTGCACATATCTGCCCAGATGTGTGCAGGTTGCATCACTATGTTTTCCTACGCCTTTTTCTTCGATAAATGTACATATGTTAATCGTATCGAAAAACACATTGGAACGGGATTCGAACACAGGACTCACAGATTACAAGTGCTTAACCCCTGAGCCACCACTCTCCACGATATCATGATAATATTAATCGACGATACTATAATATTAAAAAATATTATCAAAACAGAATCCTACTTTATAGTTTTAAATCTCCAATTTACTGAGTAAGCTTCGACGACTTCGATTTGTTGAGTAATAGTACGGCATAAAATCATGTACACGTTTAATAAGGCCGGACGCTCTAGTCCTAGACATCCGGTTTCCTTTGAGAATATAAACGATAAAAAACGCTCTTAGCTCGCTTATTTATTTTTTGAATACACCATACTTTTGTTAACTAGCAACACAGTTCATGTGGAGTTTATCTTACTTATATTTTAAATGCGAATTGGATGGATGTTAGTTAAGCGAGCGTCGGTGGCTCAGTGGTCAAGCACTTGACTTGCAATCTGCAGGTCCTGGGTTCGAATCCCGCCATGTACCAATGTGTTTTTCGATTTCCGATTTACATATGTACATTTATCCGACGTTCTTACGGCGAAGGAAAACATCGTGATGCAATCTGCACATATCTGAGAAGAATTTCAAAGATATGTGAGAAGTCAACCAACCCGCACTTGGCCAGCGTGGTAGACTATGGCCTAATCACCCTTAACTTAGGGTAGGCTACGAGCCCCTCGGTGGGGACGTATAGTGAGCTGATTATTGTTAGAAGATATCTCCAGAAAACCTGCATGGATCTGGCTGAAATGTAACATAGTTGTAGAACATAGCCTGGAGGAATACATAGGCTATTAAGATTTTTAATAATGTGCGGATAGAGTCGGTTATAAATGCGAATGTTTGGATGGATGGATGTTTGTTAGTAGATATCTCCAGAACGGCTGCATTAATCTCACTGAAATTTGGCACAGATGTAGAACACAGTATAAAATTACACATAGGCTACTAATTAAGTTTTTTTTTAAATGTTAGAACTTAGGGGATGTTTTCATATCCTTTCTTAGTATATGTCTGTACTATTATAATAGAAATTTGTCTCGTAATAAGTCAATGGAAACTCACAGTTATAGCGTCTTCATTGTGATAATTAATTTTGCTAAAATATCCGTAGCGAGGTCATTGCTCCCTTTTTAAAACGTTTTAACTTAACAGATGACCGTCAACCGCGATTTTGTCACCGTAACTTCGATTCGCTTTTATTATTACAAGAGGAAATTTAAACTTAGAATTCTACCGAGAAACTTATAAATACATTGCCATCCCTTTCATTCCTTTGGATAGAATAGTGACAACACTATTATAATACGAAAACTTTGTACTAGATGAATGTCATTGGCACAAAATTAATACGGACAAGTGTATAAAGCTATCTTACTTATTATAATGTATGTATGTTTGTTTGTGTCTCCAGAACGGCTGAACGGTTCACAATGACATACATATAGAACATAGTATGGAAGAACATATTGGCTACTAATTATATTAAAAAAAAAAACTTTTTGATTATAAATTGTGACCGTATTACAAGACAAATCGATTAGCACGTATCCCTCACAGCAGTGAAACTCTACGGTAAAGTTTTGTGTTTTTTTTTTAATCTATAATCTAATGTTATAATAAGATTGACAGTATTAGGTCCGTTCCGGCTGACGATACACTTTTTACTCATCTAATTGTCGTTAGATTGGCCAATGCTTTTTATTTATATCGCTTAAATGTCGTGACTGGTTTGCAATAAAAATTTGATAAGAAAAAAATACAATTATAAAGTTTTCTTTTTTTTAATTCTTTTTTAAAAATATAAGTCAAAACTTTGTATAATCTGTAAAAATTAATTTCAATATGATTACACAATTTGAAACCTAAAAATGTTAAATCGAATTATTATTGAAAATGTGGATTGAATCTTCATCATTGTACTGTTGTCGTTTTCTGAGACCGAAATCTTTGTATAAAACATATCGTCATCTCTGTCATTATCTTTGACAAAACAGAGATAACAATATACTTTAAAAGGGGATTTTGGTCTCAGAGTTTTAGAAACTCACGTTAAGTAATACAAATACGAATTTAAAAATAAAATATACATTATTTAAGATTTTAGCTCAAAAAATAACTGAACTGGTTCAATCTTCTTTTGTGATTATAAACAAAAGTAAAATGCAATAGTCCAGCCATTAATCTATAATTCGTCAAGGACCGTCAACCGAAGTCCCCGAGCACAGCCCCTGACCCCCCGAACCCCTGTCGCCTTGTAAATGATCATTACAGCCAGGGGGTGAAAGTCGGGGACTTTCCATTGGCCCAAGTCGCCCCTGTGAAAGTTAAATAGGGGTGGTTTGTTCTCTATATACATGATTGTAGTTTATTTTAATAACAATAAGACTCATTGCATGGGGTTACGACAAAGGTGTGGGTTTAAAATAATACCGTATTCAAAAAAACTTTTACCTTGAAAAACACTAAAAACCAGTTGAATTTACTAATAATAATGTCTAGTAATAGTTGTAGAATAAACTAGGGTGAGTAAAATAAATAGTCGTAACGGAATCCTTTTTAAAAATCACACACAATCTGTCTTGTTAAGACATGTTTATTCGTAACTCTGAGAAAACGTACGCAATATTAAATCTCAGGACATTTCAAAAGAATAGTGCACAGAAAAAATAACTAAGTAGAAAAATAAGTTAATGATTTAAGGTTCAAATAGAACCTTAAATCATTCACTTAGTTATTTGATGGTTATTTCAGTATTTTAGTACTTAAGTTATAAAACTTTATTTATAGAGTCAATTTGAACGTAGAGTCGCAAAGTATTTAATAACCATCAACCGTAACAAATCTCGTATAATCTAAATTTAATATTATACTGAAGCGAAACCGTTAATAGAAAATTATATTAAATTCAGTGAAAATTATTACCATAAAAATTTACAAAAAATATCACAGCTAATTTTTTTGTATTTTTGATCACCATGTATATTAAATAGTTGGGAAGATCGAAGGCAAAAGGTCGCAGGCTATATTGGAAGTTAATATTTCAACTGCCCTAAGGAAAGACAGGGTGGCATGGAGGCAGCTGGTAAATTTGTAAAGTTATTTCCAGACAAACATGACCTTCAATAATAAAGTACATGGAGACGATTAATATTGGTGCATCAATGTGGCATATCTCTTAGTCTTAAGAAAACTATGTTCCAGATTGATCTAACAAAATTTAAGTTCTAGCTTACTTTGAGAGAAGGCTAGATGGGATGTGCTCCGTCTGTTTTTTATCATATCTTTAATTCGGTTATTATAAGGAATCTTATCCTCCGACCAGTATACTTGAGGTGACCTGAGTGTGTTTTAATAATTAAATTTTACTCGTGAGTCCTCAACAAAACGTACAGCGCCTTTACGTCGAATAATAAAACTAAATGAAAAACATCGAACATGGAACACTCCGCTATCGCCTCTCACATAAAAGACTTCCTTCACATGAGAATAATTGACATTTGCACATATCACACTAAACAATTTTACACTTTAATACACAAATAAATAGAGTTTAAAATCAAATAATTATATCTCAAGACGAACATCTCAAATACTTCGATTAACATTTTAATTGTCAACTTTAAGCCGTAAGAAATAAGGTTTGTTTTCTTTCAAGTTTACTTCTGGACGAGATCAAATTTTGAATCTCGGTACGTTGCAAAAACCGCCACGCGTTCGGTCACCGAACTCGCTGTGTATGTGTGCGCGCCTCGCGGATCTGTCGCTGTGTGTGTGCGTGCCAGACGTGTTGCGACGAGCGATTGTCTTGTCTGTGTGCACTCCTACGCGATCACTATGTCTGTGTGCGTTCTTGTACCGATTACTTTCGAACTCGTGTGCGAAATGTACGTATAGCGTGTTCTAATATGATTCATATCGATTTTTTCAATTGCTTTCTCTATCTTATGTGAATATTTTTGTGTACTTTTTTGTTTTTCTTTTATCATAACAAATCGTTTAATTTTCTACTAAGAGTTTTTTTAATGTTTCTTAGTGAATCTACTAAATATTATAAGTCTAATAAGAACTGTATAAATTCTACTAAGAAAATAATTAAATAATAAAATAGTTATAATTTAGTAAATACTTTTTTTATAATACTATCGAAAATAAATACTCTTCACTTGGGCAGGTTTTTAAATGGATTTCCAAATTAAATAAATGATTTTTTCTTTTACAGTTACATAACCCACCAAACCACATTCTTAACTTCAATGGTTCTCTTTTCACAATGGTAAGTAGAAACTGCTTATTTAATTATAGTTTTTAAATTGGGTACTTTTTTTTCAATATAACGTACTTTTAAAATACAACGATCCAACTAGTGATAATATTCAATTGGAATTGGCGAAATGAATCAGCCTGTATAGTATTTCAGAGTGCGCTAGAGTGCGTCTGTGTGTGTACGTGTGTTGTCTACGCGCGCGTCTGTGTGCGACGTCTGGTTGTAACTGTGTGTGTTTCAACATTCAGGCCCCGGGGAAAGACTCTATTATTATTGCTCTCGAAAAATTCTGACCAATTTCGAATTTCCAAAAAAAAAATCCGCACTCAGAGACGTTTTTAATTATTATGGATACATTAATATCTAAAGTAACATTCAGTGAGTTAATTCACTATAAAACGTGTAAATTGCTCGCAAAATTTGACATTTCTTATATATACGACTTTTGAATAAATAAAAAAAAAATATATTCTTTTATAAATGTATACTTCAGAAATCAATAAAAGCATTCTGGTGCAAGTCTTCTTAAATTGGAAGCCAGAATCCCAGATCTAAGCAAAGTAAAACTGCTTACTAATATTATAAATACGAAAGTTAAGATGTTTGTTTGCTAGAAGATATCTCTTTAACGGCTCAACGGATCTTGATAAATGTAGAACATAGTCTGGAAAAAGACATAACTTATTAAGTTTTTTTAAAATTACGTGGACGAAGTCGCGGGTAGCAGCTATGTCGTATAAATCGCCTATACAACAGGGTTGTGGGTTCGATGCCCGGGACGCACTGTCTGGACATGACGTGGACATGCAAAATGCCTTCTAAAAATTCAATTGTTAACGACAAATATATATCAGTCTACGGTAACTTCATAAATAATTCGTGTACGTTATTTGACATGATTCGTTATGACGCATTCATTGAAGTGAACGGAATGAACGAAATGAATGTATCGATCCTTGTGACTGACAGATTTTCGCTCGTCTTTTACAGTCTGTTGTCCTGAAGATTTTAAGTATTAAAAAATACTTAAAACCACATAAAAAATTAAGATTCATGTTGGATCATAAATATTGATATGGAATAAAACGAAGCACTAATTATATTTATGTTTTTCTTACCATGTTATATTACTGCCAAATCAGGCTTATAAGAACACTATCGGTGTCGGCCGTGACTCCGTCCGCGCGTAATTAAAAAGTTTTTATAACCTATGTGTTTGTAGGTGACCTCCTACATATTCCCTAGAACGCAACACAGTCACACATACACGCACATACATCACACGCATACACGCACACATAAACACGGGTGCATGACGAGTGGTCGACGTCACGTCGATTTGTT